TATATATATATACATACATATACACATATATGTTGGGTTCATTGACATCAGATTATTTATATTTTACATTGAGCACTTTCTTTATAGCCTATATATATATTTCTTAACATATGTAGGCACAGAAAATCTTGTTTATTGAATTAGGCCTAATGGAAAATCAATATTTGTATTGTCCTTATTTTTAGCCAGCTTTCCCTGATGATCCTGTAATTTTAGGTGAAATCTGGGTAAACACAATTGGCTCACTAGGTTTATATATATATATATATATATATATATATATATATATATATATATTGTATAATAAAACCAAACTGGAAGGCTATAAAGAAAGTGCTCAATGTAAAATATAAACAATCTGATGTGAATGAACACATTCACCATCACTAGCCATTGTGGAAAATAAACAGATTTAGATGGAAGAGATTACTAAATGTTTGAAAACTGATATCTCAATAATGCCATTTGAAGAGACTTGGGATTATTTCCAAGCTTGACACATGGGTGTCACATTCTCTGTCAAAATAGAACAATCTTATTCATGTTTCTGCAGCAATTTCTTTGCTGTTATACCATGAAAAGGAGCCATTGCTGGACAGAATTTTCAGAGATAGTGAAAAAATGGATCATTTATGATAGCATTCAATGCAATCAGAGCTGGAAACAAGCTTGTGAATGTGTAGAACCTGTGACTAAAGTGGATTTGCAACCAATGAAGGTGTTGTTATCCCTTTGTTGGGATTGCAGAGGGATAATTCGCTTTGAGTTTCTTTCAGATGGTGAAACAATAACTGCAAAGAAGTATTGCAACCAACTCACCACTCTCAATGCGGCTTTTCAAGAAAAACATCCGATTTAGGCAAATTGAAAAGGCATATTTTTGCCCCACAACAATGCAAGATAGTCTGTTTTACAATATACTATCAGTCAGTTATGTGCCATGCGTGATACATGCTTAGGTGATCATGTATCTTTCGATACATTACTGACAAAGCAGATTTTTTCCTGAAGTAGGTTGCCATTTCTTTCTGCGGTAGACCAGTCGTTATCCAAGGAACCTGGTGTGTCCTGTTATTTACCCATAGCTGTGGGGAGAAGAAGAAAATTCATATCTTTCCCAAGGGTATTAGCACGTAAGTGAATGTAATGGATTTGACTGGAATTTGAACTCGGTTCTCCCATTCCTCAATCTGAGCTGCTATCCATTACTCCACTGTGCCTCCTAAAACAGACCATGAAGAAACTAAAAGATTTGAAATGGGAAACCCTCTGGCACCCACCATATTCTCTCAATTTGGCTCTTTTGGATTTTCATTTGTTCCAGTCCCTACAGAATAATTTAAATAAGTCAGCCAGTCGATTGCCATATCAATAAAAGAGGCAATTAGGAATTGTATCACAATAGATTTCTATTTGATAGAAATAAAAAAAACATCTCAAAACTGAAGACTTTCAACAGCAGCAACAACTGTAAAATGAGTTGCACATGATACTAGGAGAGAAAAAAATTGATGTAATAAAGATGTCAGCTTTCCACACTACCAAAGGCAGAATGATTGGAAGGAAACTACTATCAGGATTATAAAGTGCTATAACATTTAAATGAGTTTTTTTTTATAATATATATATAACATTATATGGACTTGAGAAGTCTAATCTGAAAAATTATTTTTTGTTTGTTTTTAATCTTTAAACAAAAAAGGCAATAAAGCCACTAAGTTACACATGGATTTCTTTTCTTTAATTCATTTCACCCCATGCAAGACCGTATATTGTAAAACAGACCTTGCAGAGACTAAAAGAGTTGAAATGGGAAAGCCTTCAGCACCCACCATATTCCCCCAGATTTTCATTTGTTCCGGTCTCTATCGAACAATGTCAATGACAAAAAATTTAACTCTGTACAGTCAGTTAAAAACTACCTGACATCCTTCTTCCAACAATTTTAAATCACATTTCAGAATATTGTATGTTTGAAGGCTTACAATCCTGACAGCACGTATTAACACCATGCCTAATTTTTGGGTTGGCTTGATCATATAATAATGTCAAGACTGGTCAGTTAGAATTATTTCAACTGCAAAGACCTTCTTCAAAACCAGGAATTACCTTTATTATAAGATTCCATTATGATTAGTACAACTGTCAGGAAATCTGTTAGCATTGTCAAACCATCTGATAGCTTCAAGGACTCCAAGTGCCTTGTGATATCACTATGGACCAAGCCTTAACAAGACCTCAAAGCCAGTAAGGATATACTTTAAATTACTTACATTCATATATTTGTTGCCCGAATCTGACGACTTCAGATTTCAAATATGCATAAATAAATTAATAATCACATACAAACATAGATAGATATAATTATATAAAATGTTAAACATTCAACGGAAATATAATTCAGCCAAATGCAAGCTAACATTATCTTTTTAAAATACTCAATAGTGTTCAATATCCTTTAGACAGAATCACATAGCATAAATATGTATATTCTTCTGGGTCTTGCTAAAATGTACCAAGTACATGAACAATAACAACAGACATATTCTGAGAGTTTGGAGCACCTCGACATGTTCTTAGCAACTGGAAGAATTTAGAGAACACTATTTTCATACTGTTAACTGAAAATTATGTCAATTAGTGTCATGTGTGGAGATATTGTTATTATTGCTGCGTTGATGGATTCAACCATTTTCTTTTGATTTTACGATATTGTTGTATATGTTTGTTTGGGAGAGCAGTAATTCTGTTAAGAAAGGTGAAATAGGGAAAAGGCTAGGGCGTAGATTAATATTTGTGTAATATTCAATGGCGGCACTCTCTAGAATTTTCCTTTTGAGTGAGTTATTTTCTTTTTTTATGAGTGTAGCAATTCTTCCAGTTGCTAAGGACATTTTGTTTTTTGTTATTATTAGTTACTTTGTTCAAATAAATTCATTTCGTTTTTTGCTTTGAGAAAGTCCACATTGGACAAAACGCGTCAGCAACTACTACAGTTTTCCTATTGTCTTTTCTACAGGTTAACTCTGAGAAATTTATATATATATATATATATATATATATATATATATATAAAATAATGTGTAGTGAATGTGGATGCAGGCCTCAAAAGTCATGAAAACAGCAAACACAGAGAAGCCATTCATTACAGGTTATGCTGTATTTATACAATACCTAATGAAAAATCTCACAACATTGTCACATCTGAGCAAGGCAAGGTAAAATCCTAGCAGACTAAAAAGCCACATCCATGCTGAACTTATTTGAAGACAAATCAATAGGGCCCTTGAAAATGGCTAATGAATTGCCCGAAAGCACCTGGGATGATAATCATTATGGACAGTTTCTGCACTCCTTTAGTCCTTTCAAAAAGATAACAGCACAAACATTAGAATAACTTAATAAAAAATAAAAAAAAACTCGTAAGATGTTCCTTGTCTGTCATATTCAATGAAACATGTCTAAATGAAAGGTTGCTGTCCAAATATACAATGTACTTACATGTTTGAGC